TGTATGATAATAGTCGAAGTGATAGATGATAGTTGGCAATGGAATAATAGCGGAAGTTGGATATATGACAGTTGGCATGGAATAATAGCGGAAGTTGGATAGTATGACAGTTGGCATGGAATAATAGCGGAAGTTGGATAGTATGATAGTTGGCATGGAATAATAGCGGAAGTTGGATAGTATGATAGTTGGCATGGAATAATAGCGGAAGTTAGATAAAATGATAGTTGGAATGGAATAATTGCGGAAGTTAGATAAAATGATAGTTGGAATGGAACAATTGCGGAAGTTAGATAAAATGATAGTTAAGATAGAAAAAAGCGAAAATTAAATAATATGATCCAGTCACCAGGCAAAGTCTTAAGTAATGGAGAGGGAAGGGTAAAAAGAGCCTCCAAGGAATCTTAAACAAATCTCCATTGGTCAAATAAAGCTCACTGTAGATTGGATATGTGGCCACAACAAAGGGGAATGAGCTCCTCAAGAGAGGTTCTCATCCCCAAAAGAGATAGAAACTTGATTGTACAGAAGCAGAAGTTGTTGAGGAGACCTTGTAACCTAGCCCTTGCCCTGTAAAGTGAATTGAAAACCACACCCAGATAAACCAGAAACTGGGTAGGTGTGAGGAACGTCTTCTCCACCTTGATGAACTAAATAACCATCCCAGGCAGCTTCCTGAAGAAGAAACCGAGTATGGAGGGCAGAATTGGCCTTCAAGGATGCCAACAGTAGCTAGTCGTCCACGTAACAGTGGAAACGAAGGCCCTGGGAATAAAGCAGTTGAGAAAATAACTAAACACATTGAAAAAAAAACACATAGGGGACCCAGGCTAGGCCAAACAGAAAATATCAAAACTGAAAAACATCGATACATCAAAAGAAATGTATAATGCTGGAGAGATGGCAATATGCATATGAGTATCTAACACATCATCCACAGATCTGGAGTGAAAACCCAACAGAGAGTTAAGTATGACTCCATGGTGAACTTGGGAATGAAGAGGAAGCAATTCAGGGGTGACAAATCAATTGCTGGGCACCAGACTCCCATCTGTTTGGGAACAATGAATAGAAGAGAATAAAACCCTGAACAAGAAGGAATTCCTCAACACCTCCAAAACTCAAACTAAAGAAAACAAAGTAAGCAGAAGAAAAAAATTATCTAGTAAGAACTGCAATGAAGAAACAAACATGTCTTAACAGTAAGATTGCCAATCAAGAAGTGATTAACAGGCGCATTATTAGAGAGAGCATTAGTTACAATAGGAGTAGTGTTGCACTCCTTTTGGTGGAGGATTGCTGCATGAACATTTTCATGTAGATATGGTTTTACAACGGGGTAGTTAGTCTGTAAGATTAGTAGAATTTATATAAAACGGTATTAACGTGGAAGTATAGCGGAAGTTGGATAACGTGATAATTAACGTAGAGAAATGATGAAGGTTGGATAGAGTGATAAGTAGAGAAATGATGGAGGTTGGATAGAGTGATAATTAAAGTATAGAAATGATGGAGGTTGGATAGAGTGATAATTAAAGTGGAGAAATGATGGAGGTTGGATAGAGTGATAATTAAAGTAGAGGAATGATGGAGGTTGGATAGAGTGATAATTAAAGTAGAGAAATGATGGAGGTTGGATAGAGTGATAATTAAAGTGGAGAAATGATGGAGGTTGGATAACAAGGTGCTTAGTTTCGAGGAATAACAGTTGGAGACACAATGTTGTAATTACTCAAACCTAGTAATAAGTTTATGTTGTTCCCAGGTGGATCAGCTGCAAACTTACAAACTTACAACTCTAAAACCCGAGGTTCAATTCCTGGGTGGGGGACGGAATAAAGGTAGCCCATTTTGTAGCTTTGCTTTAAGAAAACAAGCTGTCGTTTGAACGTTATTAATTTCGTCTTCCTCACTGAAGGAAATGAGACACTAAAATGGCGTGTTGCCAATCTAAGTGAGAAATAAGTATTTGATTTTTAATTTATTTCTTTGCCAAAACGTGAATTTCGGCGAAGATAATATGACGTAGGGGTCTCATCTATTCTTTGATTCGCTACTCCCACTGTAACAGACTAGTTTCGCCGATTTCACGGCTCATCGGTGCTTCTTGGAAGGGCGTGGAAAATAAATAAAGTAGGCCTCATATAGTAATGGAATTTAAGCAAACAATTTCATCATATTGTACATCATTCACTTTTACATAAACTTTTTATATTCCTCAGTTAGAGTAATATATTTCTTCTTGTGTTTGGTTGCAGTTCAATTGTCTGGTGGAGCTTCTTCAAGAAATGTTAAACTACGTTGGCAAGAGTCAGAAAAACAAGTTAAAGTTAGAGAAACTTTCCATGGCCTCTATGGAAAAGTAAGTCCAGCCTTCTGTTCAAGAAAATAGGCTTTTTTATTTAATAACAGAAACTACCACATGATGTTCTGTGTCATTGCGAAAGATGTAATATACACAACGCCCAAATGTATTCTTAATGTTGAAAATTATCTCAGAATTATTCTTGCTGGTAACTAATAACGTAATAAATTCATAATTAAAGCTAACATTAAACTACCTGTTTACATCGTGTTTAGGTGATTCTTTTTTCATGTGCTATTGCTACAAAGCTGTCTAGCATGTTAACTTTTTTCATAAAACGTGCAATATAGATCAAGTATTAGGCCTAGTTTTTTGTGCAATATAGATCAAGTATTAGGCCTAGTTTTTTGTGCAATATAGATCAAGTACTAGGCTTAGTTTTTTGTGCAATATAGATCAAGTACTAGGCTTAGTTTTTTGTGCAATATAGATCAAGTATTAGGCTTAGTTTTTTGTGCAATATAGATCAAGTATTAGGCCTAGTTTTTTTGTGCAATATAGATCAAGTACTAGGCCTCGCTTATTTATACAATACTGTTACGTCTCTGGTCGTTAATTAATTTTCCGTAAATTCGTTCCGACGAAACTTTAGCGACACAAGTCCTTTCTTAAATAAAACTGGTTTATTCTTTATGAATATAACTTTGCGATACACTTAATTTCAACAGTCCCGCTATAACAAACGCTATAATTCTCAACGAACGTCTCACGTGCTCAACAATGTTCTCTATCCGCACTTCAATTACACATTGTTCCGTCACGTTGTGACCGTCTTATATATACAAGACTAACACATATCTAGTAAACGCTAGGGCATTCATGAAGGAACAGGATATTTCTAGAAGTCAATGATGTGTTACTAGCGTCACGTGACCCCGATGTCGTAACAATATATTAGAACAAGGACCAAAATAATTTCTTTAACAATATACCCTAGATAGTGAGTGTTATGCTACATGTTTATCATTTGAACTTTTTTAGCAGTTTTGGATTATCTTCCAGTCATAATATAGAGCAGACCACTGGTTATCCGCATCGTCCTCCATGTTTAAGATTGGAATCTCGACGAACCTCCATAAGTATGGACGACGTAATCAGACAAACGTGCAGTTCAAGTAAGTAAATTAATTGGAAATATTTGTATCTAGAATTTCAATGACTTTCTCTCTCGACATTAGGTGAGAATTAACCACTTTCATTTCACAAAAGACCACGAAATACAAATATCTAGTTAAGTGCAACGTACTAAAAAAATAGATAATATTATATCATTTTTAAACATATTAATTTTTATATATTAAGGCTAATTAACTTTTTTTGTAAAATTAACATATTTCAAACTTAAAATGATTTTCTAACAAATCTATCCATAAACACATAAAAAAAGGTTAGTTATGTTCTGGGGAATATTACCAAGAATGAAAACAAAAACAAACATGCTAGTTTCTATGTCTTTTAATATATTTTGTATATTCTGAAGTCTTGAGATATAAGAGAGTGTGTGTGTGTGTGTGTGTGTGTGTGTTTCATGATTATGTTTTATTTTGCATGGAAATAATATTTATATTTCCTGACATGGTGACCTTGACCTTTGAACTGTTAATCCTAAACCAATAAAGGTTCTTCCCCATTCAAAAGGAGAGAAACCTATGATTTTTTATTGAAAACGTGTCTCTCTCTAAAACACTAGTTATCGTGCAAAAAGTAAGCGGCGTCATCGCTATATTCCCCTCTCCCCGAATATTTTCAATCACCGGGGGGGGGGGGGAATAAAAAAAA